TTTAATTGTGCCTTAATAGAAAATGCTGTTCTGAGTTGCAATTTAGCTTCACCCACAGTCACAAAACACTACATTTATAACGCTATATAGTAAAGTACTGTGAAAGCATACCCCTGAAAAAAGATGGAGAATGGAAAAGTAAATGGCAGGCAGCTGACTTTTCTGTCCATCTGTCCTCTACTGCACATACAAGTAATTCTACTCTCCCCTGAGATACTGGTAACCCCCCTCCACTGATGCCACACAGCAGGTTCAAAATACAGATGAACACTGAGCAGCAGGAAAGGTGGTTGCAGTAAATTAAATAAAAGTGCTGACAGCCATTCCCTTGCTTGGTGTCCCTGGCTTTAAGTACTACGGGGCACACACTGGGAAAGAGATGAACAGTTCTCAACTTCAGGTCATTATTTAGCAGTTTTTGTTGATTTCAACTCAAGTTAGATATGTGCATCCTAGGGCAGTGTTCATTGTTGTAGTCTAAAATTATGAATCTATATAGCAAAGTGCCTTTCTTGTCTCGCTTTAATTTAGGTTCATTATTTGATCTTTACTCATCATAAATTACTCTTGCTGTGAATTTAAATGTGAATTTAAAGCGATGACAAAAAGGAACTGATTATAAATCAGTTGCTGCAACATGCAATAAGTGCTCCACAGGTAGGGCCTCAAAAAGCGAGAGGAAATCACCTGTCACCACTCCCTCCTTGACATCTCAGTCCTCTCTTCTCCATTTCTACTTCAGTTCTTGCAACATTTGTGGTTACTTTTTACCTCCCACTCCTAAAAATCACAACTCTTAGAGGGCTGTAGCAACCTACCAACATTTCATGTGCTGGAAGAGGGACCCATCATGGGTCTTTCCTTACTGAGCAAGCAGAAGGCGATGAAGCCCTAGGGCTGCCCGCACACGGGGGCACACGCTTCCTCCTGCCGGCACGGGATGCTCCTGCCCCAGGCCTGGGGAGCCCTTGGCAATGCCCCGGGGGTCGGTGCCTCCCCGGGCCCAACTGGAGGGACCAGCTCATGGCGCTGGAAGGAAGCCATGACACGGCCAGCCTGTGGCAACGGCAGACTCCGTGCCTCTGGTGCAAGGGCCGCGTTGCTGCCGCCACCTGCGAGGTGCCAGGGTGCAGCCAGGCTGCAGTTCCTCGGGCACAGCCCCCCTCGCCTTCAGGCAGCAGGGGAGCTGGAGCACCCCCCTGTGGTATCTGGTGTTCTGCGAGCGAGCGTGCCGGGGAACGGGGTAACTGGGAGGCCTGGCTGTGCCACCGGCGCGGCCCTCGGGAGCAGCTGCGCCATCCCCGCACGCCACCCCCGGGAGCTGGGCGGTGGGCGCCGGCGCGGCGGGCGGTGCGAGGCTCCGTGTGCCTGCACGCCACGGCGGGCTCCGTGCTGAGCCTCTGCCTCGCCGCGTACCCCCGCAGCACCCTGAGAACAGCAGAGGGCGGTCACCACGGCCTGACCCACCCGTGAGGCAGCTGCCCGCGCTCCCCCTCAGCCCGTGGGCCCTCCCGCGAGGCACGCTGCGGCACCACTGCTTGGCCAGGGAGCCTCTGCCGACAGGGAACGCTCCAGCCCCTGGGGCTCCCATACAGCGGCCACGCTTCATGGCAGCCACGTTCACAGCGGCCCACAGCCAGCAGCGGCGGTGCCCTGCGCGGGGGGTGGGCGGGTGCGTCCTCCTGAGCCCCACAGGGGGCTTGGCTCTCACCACAGGCCATCTCGGGGCGGTAGAGGAGGGGCAGCTCCTTTGTCTGCCCTGTCAGCTAATTTCATTGCACTTTCTGAACACAGACAGTACCAGTGTGAAATCGACTCTTTTTTTTCCCCGTGTTGAAACAGCTTTCCAGTGACATCATACACTTAAATTTGCCTGACCACGGCCTAATACGTGAGGAGAGCAGAGCAGAGCAAATGGCGGAAGAGCCAGCCCAGGGATCTGGTATTTAATCTCAGCTCTGTTATTGACCAGCAGACATCCAACACTTCATTTATGTGTGTGCTTTAGACTCACTGTTAGTAATTCCATGTTTAACCCCTAAAAAATTTCAGAAACACTGTCTCTAAAAGACAGCATAAAATCCAAGATTTTATTTTTCCTCAAGAATTAAAACTGTTCGACCACTTACACTCTACTTGCAAATAGCACTAATGAAAATAAGGTCTGGTCATTATATTTATCAAATGTTAATTTACATTTGAGATATACATTCGTATATATTATTGATCATATATTTTTATATATATAATATACATAGATACTATTCCATAACTATTTGGGGTTTGTCCTTTTAGGATCTTTGGCCCTGGCTGATGACCTCAGTGCAAAACCACTGTCTCAAGGGAAGAGGCACTTGGATGAAGAATCCATATTAAATGTAAGTTTGATTATTTGGTCATGTTTCTCAGTGTGCTGAGGTGTTCTACACAGGGAGCATTATTTATGAATCACCCAGAGTTTTTCCAGATTTTATTTTTAGACTTCCTGAATGACAAATAGCTTTTAACTAGGCCAGAAAACATGATATGTGTAATTTTAATATTTTTCCTAAGGAAAAAAATATCCTAAGAAAGAGTGTAGTATAAAATTAAAAATTTATATTATACTTAATTTCAAAGGGTTTCTAGTCCTAATGGTCTCCAGATTTTGATTGTTATTTTAATTGTTAAAGGAGGGGAATATGATCTCCAAAATAAGCAAAAATATGTTGGTTATAAAATAATTACCTATACAGATATAAGTGTTCCTGGGCAGGTATTAGCATATTTATTAATATTCATTGCTAATAGTGACATTTATTTCTTTTGTGCATGTTAATGTCACAATACCTCCATCTTGTGGTTGACTGAATATTACGCTGTGATTAATTTTCATTTTATATTCCATAGGAAAAGTATGGTTGAAAAGAAAAATTTTTAAAATGCTGGTGTTTTTTTTTTTGGGGGGGGGGGAAGGAAAGAAAGGAGGAACTTGTCTTCAGTGGATGCAATTTGCCATATCTAAGTGCATAACTATAAAGGGGAGCAGTTTTATTTAAAATATTATTTTAGAAAATCAAAGAAAAAATGTCATTATGATTAGTTGGATTACTGAGTTTGAGTCACATGTACATGGCCAGTTATGTTTTGTTTCTATTTCACACAGGTGTTCAAAAACAATGATGCTGATCAGCAGTTTAACCTTGAAGCTGCAATTAAAAACGTTGACAAAATGTCCAATGAGCTAAAGAAATTAAATGGTAATTCTGAGTTCATCATCCAGCTAAATAAGCAGCATTTAAGGCATTGTTTTAAAAAATGTGCAGTTGTGAATGGCTTGCTTTTCTGTGTTATACAACTGGTTTTGAATCTAATGAAACAATACAGTTGCTCTTTTGTTTTGAAAAATGAATGAAACTGTAGTTACATAAAAATGGAATCATGTTAGCTAGCCATGGAAAAAATCTGTTAGGTGCTCAAAGTCAGTCCATTGCAGGAACAATAATAGTATCCTCACAGAAATATTACCTGTATGCTTTATTTAACCGTCTTGAAGTAAACAAAACAAGGCAACTCTTCACATTTTTGAGACTTGATAAACCCTTCAGAAACTGCTGTATATAATTTGCCATTCACTTAGCATCTGCCATTCAATAAATACAATGATGATACACTGCCCTTTGTCTTTCAGTGGAAAGCCAGCTACTGCTTTGTGACCTTATTTTGAATTTCAGCCATCCTTTGAAGGCCAAAGATTTAAGAGAAGCTGAAGAAAAAAAATGGAGTTTGACAGATTAGGTAATAATATCCATTTTCATGCATCGTCTTCTATTAATACTGCTTCAGTTTGAACTGTAAAGCAATCGTATGGTTTCCTGCAGTTAGGCTATTTTTATTTTAAACTGAAAACGTGGAGTGGAAAAATGCTGTAAGTAGGTTATTGATTATGAGACCTTTTTTTTTAAACCCAAATTAAGCCCACTAGGGCTGGAAAGACTGATACCATTAACTAGAAAGGTAAGGAAACTGAGCATGAAGTTTTTCACATGTGGTTGTCTCCTTTTAAACAAAGACATATTGGAACAGTAACAAAATATTTTAACTTTAAGTCAAGTCATCGCTCTCTTATCTCAGTTGTGCTCTGGAAAGTGGGATAAAAAACAGTAAAGGAGGAACTGCAACTCGTCATTTGATCTGCCTTCCTCATTCTAAACATGCTGCCGAGGAAGGGGGACAAAGAGCAGATTACTTCTGGCAAACTGAAAATACTTTCATTCTAGTTTCTGTAGTGACTTTCTAATGCAGCTAGCTAAAAAAGAAAGATTTAGTGGCCTAAAAAATCTTCTTGGCCCAAAATTTGAGTAGCCAGTATTTTCATGTAGTTCATTGCAATTGACATTCAATCATACGTTACTTGTAGATGTTTGAATGTTGAGATGTGTTTCTATTCATATAAAAATATATTTATCTGAATAATCAAATCAAGCTTTACTCTGCTGAAAAAAATAAAGTTTTATACTTTGTTATGCTGATCTATATTTCTTCTTTTTTTGCTAATGAGATGATTTAAAACTAATAAAACACAATTCCATAGGAGGTATTTCTAGGTTGTCAGACTTTTCAAGGCAGTGCAATGGAATAGAATCACAAACTCCAGCTCTCAGAATCAGTGGTAATATGGGGGATGTTGTTCTTAATTTTAGCTTTTTTTGAAAAACATACATAAGTGACTTTTCTTTTGCAAGATTAGTAGTAAGCTCTTAAATATTGGGCTAGAAACAGGTTTTGTCAGCTGAAGAACTTTTTTAATTTTCATCTTTTGTTTTGACTCATAGTTGCATGGAAATGAAATTCACAAACTTTGAATTCCAGTTCCTAGCTAAATGTATTAGAAGGAAGATAACCTTTACAAAACATATATATTTAAAACTGTTTATGAAATCTGATTATTTTATCTGAGAAGCTATACAGATTACATGGAAGATTTTTTTGTCTTGAATTTTGTTTCAAGTGTTTCAAATGATATACACACAAATGGCTTTAAAGGAGAAAAAGCATGACAATGTGTAATATAATTATCAAACCAAGGTCTTGTCAGAAAACAAAGGTTACTAGAAAACCAAGGCAAAGAGTTGGATAAATCCCACTTACCAAAGGAGAGTGAAAAACTCTTAATATAGTATGCTTCAATGGTCCTCAGCTGCAACTTATATTTTGGAACTGGGAACATTGTTTTTCTTGAAAAAATTACACTAGAAACAGAAAGCAGTTATATAAGAGGAACTAAGTTTAGCCTGATAGTGTCTGTCTTCTAAGAGATTTGGGTGTGTTCTGCCAATTAGGAATCACATGATGATAATCTTGTTGATATGTCTACTATAAAAATACTTGCATGATTTAAAGTCAGAAAAACACAGCTAAAGAGAGGTCTGTGTTAAGGGAGAAAAGCTTGTTTCTGGGTGAGGTTAGAGGATTCTCAAAGATATGTTATTCCAATTTGTGGGCTAAGACATGCCATCAATGAATCATCAGCAGTATGGCAGAGAGAACATGATATCTGCAGATATTTTATTTTTCTAGAATACTGTGAACAAAGGCATTTTCATAGCACAGACGTAGATCTTGACAAACAGATGCAGATCCAGGGTTGAGGATTTTTTCTAGAGTCACTGAAACCTAGATGTCTTTAGGGTCCAGGTGAGAGTCCCACTCTTTTCATAGAAGTGGCCATAGATAGATTTACTGGGAAGTGGATCAGGGGAAAAAAAACGGGCTTTTCTTGTCTTTTGTCTACTCAAATTTGACAAGGTTTGGGTCTACTCTATATGCATAACATAATTGCTGCTGCAGTTCTGATTTGAGAAATAGCTTATGTTTTTTCCTCCTATGAAAGCAGAAGCTTGTATTGGTATTTATTTCTGGGTCCTCTAATTTGACATGGAAATAATTTCAAGAATAGACACATATGTTGGAAGATAAAAATTCTCATGTACACTATGATTAGTAGACAGTAATAAACACATTGTAGGAAAACCAGATTTATAGAGTACTGCATTTAAGGCATAATTTAAAAATAATGTTGTCCTTTTTACATAAAATTAAAAGGATATTTTATGACTTCATGATTTTAGTTTGCTGAAAAAGGAAATACCCTGAAGTTTACAAACTTCAGTAGGCTTCAATACTATATGTGCTCTTCCTTAAGGTCTCAGTTAAACATGTCCTGCGGCATATTTTAACATGCACTGGTTTCTTGAGCCTCTGTCTTTTCCATCAATCAGAAGAAGAGGTGTTCTTTGGAAGTAATCAATGATATCTGCTACAGAAGAAAAATCCTGTTGGATAGAAAAAAATGAGAAGGCATGATAAAAAAATGTCAGAATTATTAGTAATAGTTTGGAGGTTTTTTTAAGCTCTAAATATTTAGCCATCTTATAAGATGCAATAAATACTATCAGATCAGCTGTTTTCAATCCTGCCACAATCTGTAGATCAATAACTGTTAATCTAGTGTCTATACGATTTACTGCAATGTTGTATAATTAATTTATGCAGTCGTGGTCTATTTAGTACATTCTGTTTGACATGATTGCACTTGAATTTTCAGAAAGTTGACTAATAAATTCAGAGTTCCGACTTGATCAAAACTGCTGACTGAGTCTGTCTGGTGCCAGTAAATCCAATGCAGTATCACTGGATATAAGTAAACCAGCAGTCTGGGAGCAAAGCAGTCAAATTGGCAGATATGGATTTGCTCTCAACTGTATATTTCCCTTATCTGGTATCTTAGTCATAAATAAAAGTTCCCTAACCACATGTGTGTGTGTGTGTGTGTATATATATGGATTTCTAATAGCTGTATTCTAAGACTATCCCTTCATTCCCTGAGTGCAAATAGGAGAATCTGAAGTTACTTCCAGCAGTAACATGCTCTATCAGGAATAAGTCTAAGACAATAAGTAGAATTCCTCTGGAGTAAAACAGCTGCTAGGTGAATTATCCCGACACTTAAGACTGAGACAGAGGATACTGTAAGAGGAAGGGGAGTGAAGAACACACAGTACCTCTTTTCCTTTTAAGCCAGTTCCTAACAAATATATGTGATTTTGCTCCTCGTAACGAATCTGGATGTTGTATACTTTATCTCTGTACAACACCATCAGTACATATGGATGAGTAGCTGTTTTTCTTGAGCTGTCTCTTACCAAGAACGTTCCATCCTGAAAGATGAAAGATGACAAATAAACGTCACTTCTGGGTTTGATCAGCATAACAACCTTAACTAGAACACCCATGCTTTTAAGTGTTTTTTCTTTCTTAAATCTCTTTCCTTTTAGTAAGAGAAACTGCAGTATTACAGAGATTAGGTCATTTCTGAAGTGTTTTATCTTTCAACTTACTACTTAAAACTTTACTGTCTGATACAAATGCAGATTTTTAGGGAAGGGAGGAAAGGTGTTCTATGAGGGAAAGATTCCATTAAAGGAGGAAGTAAGATATCAAAGGCCAATCCTCACATCACTTTAACCAGAAAAGAAGTTAGTTTCTGGTAAATCTGATCTATTTGCAGACAGCCAAAATAAATGATAGTATCTCTGTAATTTTGGTAAAAACAGTGATATCTTTCTCTCTCTCTCTCTCTCTCTCTCTGCTTTTCTTCATTTCAGATCCGTTTTAATAAGTCTTCCATTGAAACACCCTTTCTTAAAGGCATTGGATATGATTTCGTAAGCTGGACTTTAGTACAAGTCACCGAAATGCTGTACAGTTGTCTTCAGCTCATTGCCTGTGCTCTGAAGCACCACAAACAGATTTCCCACAGTGTTGGGATACACTTTGGTTTATCTAGACACACATAGTTAAACCTGGGTTTCATCTGTTTGAATCTGTCCTTATTTTTCTGATAAATATAGCCTAGAAAAGGCTGGGATTCATCTAATCTAATTCAAGCTGTCTAAAACTTGCAATCTGAAACAAATTCCTCACTGGCGACAGAGAACTATTTCCAGAGAACAAGTCACTTCTCAATAAGAGAGGTGAGGTGAAACTGCTTTCTGGAGACACAGAATTTGTTCTCTTGGACTATGGAAAACAAGTCTTCATGGCTGGTTTAGACTAGATGTGTAACTTTTATGTGAGTAAAGATATTCAAGGTGAGTCCCTTACTCTAAGTATCTACATTGGGGCTATAACCTTACCATGTTATTTACCTTCACTCTTCAGATATGATTGCAAGGACATCTAGCTAGCAGATGGTGAGAATCACCAACAATTTGAACAGTACCTTGTTTATTTTTCGAAGAGCTGCTTCTGCTTCTGGCCGGGTAACATAAGCAACATACCATTCACCATTTAGTGAGTCCTATGGTTTTTGCAAGAGAGGATAAAGGAGAAAGTCAGCTGTCAGTGAACTAGACTGTGATGTTAACAACATACTAATAGAGAGAAATTTGAATGTGAGGGATATTTGGGGTTATATGCAGGATTTCTGAAGGTATGAGCTTCAGGGATTATACTAGTATATATTACTGGATGATAAGTGGCACTAAATGATTTTAAAACTCACTTTGATAAATTTGAAAATATTAAAGACCTAGCTATAATATGTCTGAAAGTAAGCTAGATAAAAAAAGATTTCCAAATATTTTCAGTAAAAGATTTTAAGTGACATTTTCTCTTTTGTCTGCCCGGGACACTAGCATCCTTTGCCTTCATTTCTCTGGGGTTTCTTAAAATGATTTTATTTTATTTTTTACTTTTTAACTATTATCTGAGACAATAACACAGACTTCCTCTGAACATGCCATGTATAGTTGCCCAGCAGTGTTATCACCAGGAGTGTATTGCTCTAAACTTGTCATATTTAAAGAAATGTGAAACAAAAATGCCCTTACAAGATATGAATTCTTTGCTCGCCAAGGTTTTGTGGAAGAACTGAATATGTAATGCTAGTCAAAGGCAATTGTGCTAAACAAGTAATCCAGCAAATAAGTATTTTTCTTATTTTATTCTACTGGGGTTTTGCTATTGTTTTTCTTGGTGAAAACAGAATAAGGCACTAGTTTGACACAGAAGAGGAAACTGAAAGCACCTACTAACATCCTGACGTGACTATTAACTAGAAAAACAACTTTGAAAAACATTCTCTCTCTCTCAAAATCAGAAAATTTGCTGTGTTTAGCAGTTATGGTTAATATTTGTAATGTTTTGTACCTGATCTTCCTCCATGTTTGTTTGGTGAACTGTCTGTCTGCTAGGAATTGGCAATGGAGGTCTTATATCAGCTGCACCTCTGGAAGGAGATCTGCTGTTGTTGCCTTCAAAGATATAAAAGTAGAAAAACTGTTAAAACCAGGAAAATAATTTCATCTGTGGAGTGCATACAGGTTGTACAATCTTGATTTTATGAGGCATGAAGAATTTATTTCACTTTGATACTGAGACATTTTGATTGATTTGAAATCAGATTTAGGCTACTGTATGAGGACCAGGTTCTTTACATAAAGTCCCTGTTCACCAAGGATGAATTTAACTGAACTCTTGCAGTTCAGATTTCCTTAAAATCAGATTAACTTGAAATAGAGGTTACATATTTTTAGCTTCTGAATGACAATTATGCAGTTGCGAGCATCTCCAGTTTCTTTAGAGACAGAAGTAAAGTTGTCTCTGCATTCCTTGCCTTCTTAGCACATAGCAACTACAAAATTGAACCAAGTCAATGGCAGGTGTTGCCATATGTGAAAAATTATTTTAAAGCAATTGATTTCTAAGGTTATTTTATTTTTTCTTGTTATTACAAGATAACAATAATAACCATATTTCACATGGAAAGTGTTTTCTCCCTTTTTTGAGAGTATTAGTATATCACAGCATCTTTCAGGTAGTGTTGCTCAGCTCTCAGTAGTGTTAGCTATATTGAAAAGATGCTTATATGAAATTTTGACAGTGGTTTAACTAGGCAGTAAGCCCAAACTTAATGGGAAAAGAACTCTTAGATTCAGACTAAGTTACACAAGATGGCTTTCAAGAACTTGATAGTTTTCCATTTACAGTCCAACCAGAAACATCTGTAGAACAAGAAGATTATATTAACTGCGCCAAAACCACCTTTCAACCTCCAGTCATTTTTTGTACAAAAAATGCAGGAATGCAGGATACAAACCTAGATGTAAGCGTGGTGGTAGTGAGCCACTCGAAGATAGGTTTCTAGCACTGTTTAAAAAAAAAAATAAAATAAAAGGTAGTTAGTATAAATACAGCATTGCTATACAACCTTTCTGTGCTCTGAAGAACTGATCTGGACTTTGTGCCTGTTCTAAAGAATGTGAAATCCTCTTGAGACCTATGCAGGATGAGGATAACCTTCTCTTTCTTTTAGTTTTTCTTTCCTTCTTTTTGTGTAAGTAAATCCACCATTACGTTTACTTGAAGCTCAGTATCGGGGAATAATGTGGAGAGAATCAGTAATGGGCCACCAAGACTTCTGTATCAGGGTCAATGCAGAAAACTACTCCAGCTTGTTGAGTTCTCACAGGGAATGATTGTTTTATTTCCCTAAAGCAGGAAACACAGGTAACAGCTTGCTAAATGTTTTGTTCTATGGAGTTCCACTTACAGAGTAATTTTTCTTGTGGCTTCTATAATACTGTTGATGAAAATGCTGTTTTTCATCATCAATGTTGCAACTGTGAATGTGGAGCTACTGGAAAGAGGCCAGTGAAGGGTCTCTAGCATGATAAGGGCATGGAACATCTCACATATGAGGAAAGACTGAAGGACCTGGGACTGTTTGGCCTCAAAAAGAGAAGGCTCAGGAGGGATCTTATTAATGCATATAAATACCTGAAGGGAGAGCCAGGCTCTTTTCAAGGGTGCCCAGTGGCAGGACCAGAGGCAGTGGGCACAAACTGAAACACAGCAGGTGCCCTCTAAACATCAGGAAACATTTTTTTCTATGCCGGCAACTGAGCACTGGAGCAGGTTGCCAAGAAATGTGGAGTCTCTGTTTTCGGAGATACCCAAAAGCCGCCTGGACATGGTGCTGGGCAGCCTGCTCTAGCTGCCCCTCCTGAGCAGCGGGCTTGGACCAGGGGATGTCCAGAGGTCCCTGCCAACCTCAACCAATTCTGTAAGCTAAGAGATGACAGTGGCACAGAGCTCATACCCACCGCACCATAACACTTCATCTGCCTGTGCTTTTCCTCCTGTGTTCATTTTAATGCATTTTTGTTAGAAAATGTACAATTTCTTTTCATGGCCTGATCCCAGAACCTACATCCAAAGCTTCACAAAATTAAGAGTCCAAATCTTCAATTTCTATTTTTTTTTTTTTTTTTAATTTCTTCACCTGTTTAAAACAAACTGCCTGCATGCTTTTCCTGTACAGTTCATATTTCTCATTTGCTTGAACAAACTACAAAAACCTCTGGAATGAATATGTTAATTATGTTTGCAGAACAAAAACACCCTGTCATGACTTGATTTTTGGAAGAGAATCGGCCAAATGGGAGCCTCTACTATATCAAAATTTGGCAACGCTCTTTGAATATAGGCAGAAGTGTTCATCATAGGAATAGTTTGTATTTGCATATGACCTTGCTATTGCTACTGCAATATTTGTTCCACTGGGATGTCAGCAGTTCCAGGAGATGATGGTAAATGTGAGAATTCAAAGAGCCATTAAAAATATACAGATATTAGAAAATGTACTTCAGACTTAGACATAAGGAACCCACTAACTCAAAGGCTAATTCTGTTGCACACTACATCAGAAATCAAAATTTAATTAAGGTCTCTTCTATCTAGCAAATGAAGACAAAAATAATTCAAGCAAGGTTCACAATTTTAAATTGGAATTATTAACCATTAGAGTAAAATTTAGCAAAAGGGTACTGAAATTCTTTCAGATTCTTCTATAGACAACTAAGGTTGAGGTTTTTTTCAGTTTTGAACCAATTTATAGTCACAGCTCTAGAACTTAGGCTCCTAGAGTGTGCAGAGTCCTTTTAAAGAAGGACCTCTTTGACCTACATCCTGCATAGTTTTGTAGGAGATGATCCCTTCCCAAAAGGGCTTATTCTTATGGATCCTGCAGGCAATGGGAGACATGTCTTAAAAATGGAAAAATTTTACCATGTAGGCCCTAAAATACTTCCTTGGCATAAAACTGGGAGATTTACATTTTTTTCTTGACTGATGTACATTATCAGCTTCACTGGATGGAGAGCTTCAGTTGTATGAAGGATTCCCCTTGATAGTAGGAACACAGATTAGCATGTAGTAGAGGCAAGGGTATAGCCTGAGAAATAATTGACTACTACAAGTAGGTACCTTGTGTTCATCTGAGAACCCTATAGCCACGTACATACTGTTATTTGCTAAATTGCAAAGAGATTGAGATTCAAAAGGAATGACACAATAATGGGTGAAACAAACCTTTCTGCACCAGGCATGCTGTTGGATCCGGGCTTAGGTGGAGGTTTGATAGATTTGGATGGGAATGTATTGGAGCTGTATGGGGGCAAAGATAGCTGTGGCACTGGTCTTTGGGGTGCAGCTGTGGAGAGGAAGAGAAGGAAACTTATGTGAGACAATCTTAAATGAGGTAAAGTTAAGAAATGCTGCCACATTACTGCTGTTTAATTAGATAAACGTAATGGAGTAAAGTATTCTGTAGAGTCCTTGATATATTAGTTATAGATTATAAATTAATATGGTCGACTGAGAACTTAAAATTAAGTATTAAAATTAAAAATAAACTGGAACAGGCTTGAGCAATATTTACATTTTCTAACTCCTGTCTTGGATAAGCCACAGTTCAGATACCTTACCTGCTGTAAAGCTGAAGGTGGCATGTAACCACATGTTATGTTGCTTCTAAATAGTGGATTTGAAATTACCTTTTTGAACTTCATTCCTTTGTGAGATTTCTCACATATTATCATGAACAACAGCATAAAATAAAACATTTTCTTTCTGCAGTGTCCTTAGACCTCCACTACTGGTAAGAGGGGAACATATCAACCTCACTCTGCACAGCTTACATAGCCCTATTCTTTATGGAGACTTAGAGGGAGTGATAATTTGTAAATACTTGACCAAATGTTCTGTTTCTGTTATGGCACCACTTTACCAACTTAATTTTAAGAACAAGGATTCTGAAGTCATTTCTGAATACTATTATTACATGAAACAAGTTCTGCTTGTGTTCATTAGAGTAAATAACATCACACAGAAGACTACTACCAGCCAGGTTTGAATGTTTTGTTAAGAACTGGGAGCGTACCAGGTTTACATGCCTAGCTGCTTGATGCTGTGTACAGATCACAAATCTCGAGAAGGTGTTTCAAAATAAGAAATTCTGCTGTCTTGTAACTGGCTCACTGAAGGAAGCTGTTAGCTATAGATTCCCTGTGTTTTGCAGCTTTGATATATAAATGCACATGAAGTACTTTATAAGCATTCTAAAACCTTTCAAGATACAACCTGAGTTTTTGAAATGGCTCTAAAGAAACAGCTCTGAGAATTACTTTTTTTAGAACTAAGAGAAAGAAAGATTTTAAGTTTTACAAATCACTGTAGAAATACTTACTTTCTTCTTCTTCCTGGGGAGCCAAAAGAAAATAAACTTTAGTAACATATAACACAGGTTTTAGGAATATTTTACAAAGCAAAAACCTGAAAGTGAATTTTGAGTATACAAGGACTCTAATATCTATACTGTCACTTTCATCTAAAATGCTGGGGTTTCTATCTTCATGCAACACCAAATAATTTTCGAAGTTCTTGCATTAATGTGCAGCTATTATTTAAAAATAAACTGTGAGGTAGATGTCAAATAATGGATCTTGACCCAAAGTAGTCAGAAACCCCCAGCAGAGTTTCTGAAACTTTCCTCATTCCTTCACTAAGTGTAGGCTCTTAGAGTTATCTGAAAGTGAAATCCTTAGGTCAGCTTAAACTGAAAAAAAACCCAAAATCTAGTGTAAGCAAAATCACTTCTATGTCATAAAAAATCTGGTCTAATTCTTCCTGTTATCTTAAAGTACTCAGTGATTAAACTGAGCTAGACATAGAACTGTTCAAAAAGAAACCATGTGCTGTGAAAGATCCATGAGTATTCATTATAACTGCTAAAAGAAATTAGTTTACCTTTTCCAGAATTATTAACTTATATGGGTACTTAATTTTATTGTAGTCCCTATACCCTTAAATCTTTGCTTTGAGACTATACTTACTCCATTTTTTTTGTGTGGTGGCCAACCCTGCCTGAAATGAAACAGAGAAAATGAAACATGAATCATAGGTGAAATGTTACTCATTCAGTTTGTGTGCATTAGGTCATATTTTCAACTAAGATGTGAATTTCTAGTAAGTTTTACAGACCCAATGAATGCAGAAACATTTTTTCCTCATAAAAAAAGTATCTAAGATTCTAATTTTCAGCCATAATCTAAGATGTTATGCTAGTCCTTAGCCCATCTTGATTCTATCAACAAGGAAAGTGTCAGATGAATTGATTATAAGATTAGAGCTTAAAACAAGTTTTTGTAATGATGAAACATTAGACTTCCAAGTCTTGAACTCAGAGTACTTAGCAACATTGCCGGAGCACATGATAAGCTTTCCAGTTTTTGCTTCTCTAGAAATTTCCTGGCTGAGTAGCAGATCTCAATTACTTTATCGTTTTATCAGTCACACTGTTCAGCCCACAATATATCTAGAGAATGATCTGGTTCTGCTAGAGAATTCTGTTTGCTACTAAGGAGTTTTGCAGACTAGTAAAATCAATGGTAGGAAAGCAAAGCTTTCTTTTTCTAACAACCTAAATAAAATAGCAATAGAACTTATGAAAGAATGTTCCCTAGAGCAAGAATATGATCTGGTGGTCATATATATTTTTGTGCAACTTGGAAATGAGTCATGCCCTACATAATGCCTGTTTCAGATACGACACAAGAGCTTTTTCTGCATTCAGTTTTCTGTAGCTTACAGCACATCCATGCATATTCATAAAGCAAAACTTTGATATCTGCAGATATTGCTGTCGTGCAGTAGCAGTAAATTATACTATCCTGTGTTGCTTATTCACATTTTTGTTAAATTTAATTTATCCTTTATTAAATTTCAATTAAATGGACACTTACTTTACAGGGGGTTGCTTCCTTAGAGGAGCTGGATTGCCTCTTTCATACCTGTCGCTTGGTGGGACAGGAGGTTTTGGCATCATTGCTAGTTGTTCTCCAAGGGATCTAAAGCAGGAGCAAAATGATCAAATAAAGGCAAAAAGCTGCTTACTAATAACTGGTTAATACTGACATCAAAAGTCTCGTTTCCAGAGGCAAAACTCTTACCTGAGCTGTGAAGTCAGAGGCTGCAAAACAAGAAATAGTTAAGAGAATGTGTAAGTGTATCAAAATAGGTGAAAAACATCAATATGCACCAAACAAGAAAGACCTTACCTTTTCAGGAAAGCCTGGCTTCCTCCCTGAAAATAGTAAAAGCTTACATTTAGAAAAAAATTAAAGTTAAGATAATTTAACTTTCTATGAAACAAACAAGTTTTGAATATCATCGAAAGTGAATTTTGCAGATTGAAGCACTCAGACTCCAAGATGTAAGCCAGGAAAATATTTGCAAGAGATGGCAACATATCAATATCTCTTATTAAAGAAAAATGTTAAATTTTCAAAAAGTGTCATGTTTTATAATCATAGTTTCTATGGTTCAACTTTGAATTACTGGACACTTATGCCATTATAATACAGACTAAAGTGTTTAGATAGTAAGTAAACATCATAGAGTAGTCTCTTTAGAGTCTTTGTAAAATACAGTTTTCAGGACTTAAAGAAATGCCTTTTTTTCCCATTTTTTCGGTTCTCAGCATTCTTTTAAGTCTGGGTGCCAGATTACATATAGTAGCGTTGCAGCATTTTGTGAGTTTTGTATGCAAAAGCCACTTCCTCTTTTAACCTACTATTTCCTTGTTCATTCACTTAAGTATTACATCAAATCTTTATTGCACAGTGATCTCAATGTCTTTCTGTTCAACTAGTCCTGAGCTAGGGTTGCTACTTTCTAGATACAATTGGCTGAGTCTTGTTCTTTTGCATGAAAGATATTCAAACTGATATTTTTGAATAGTTAAAAAAGCCCTATTGTTATTAGCATAAGCACATACTGACCTGATACGGGGCTTTCTCTTTCAAAAGGTGGAGCAAGGCGATCCAGTGGTGGTTTTGTGCTTCTGTCTATTGAAGGAGCTGGGGCTAAACACAAAAGCTGTGTAAGATAATGTGCTAGTATGGGTCAATATACCTATTTTTTTTTTGGCATAGCCACGAATTGGTGTTACTTCTCAGAATAACAAGTGAGGCCTCTGTATAAATAGTAGAGGAGAGTGGAACTGAGGAGATCTAGACAAAAGTGAAGTGCTATATAGCCCATGGGAAAAGCTTTACCAAGAGAAAACCAGCTGTACTTACGTTTCAAAGGCTTGATATTCCTGTCTCTACTCAAGTCATTGTTGCTTGGTGGTGGAGGAAAAGCTGGTAGCTAAAACAAATATTTTGCATGTGGTTAAAGTGTGTCTTCACCTTTCTGTTTTAATTTTAGTATCTTAACCACACTAGATCTGTCAGTCTTTGGTACAGCACAAGGTCTCTGCTCAACGCAGGAAGGATAGGAGCCATTAACGCTCCTGAAGAATGACCTACGTATGTGCTTTTTTTGTCAGGTGCAGAACTGGTTTCATCTGTTTCACCTCACAAGAAATATTCTAGTGGGATATTATCTTTGGGGAGGGCATGAGTATTGTCAAAAGAAAAAAACAGGAGTTTCAACAATGCTTTTGTATCTTTGCCCCTTCAATGCAGCAGGTGTTAGATTTCAAAACTGGTATTGAAATTAGTGGGTGTAAATTTGAGGTTGAGAAATATGTATAAAGTCTGTGCTACTGACTGTTGCTGACTGAGGCAGGGGGAGAAGGGGCTGTTCTTTGTTCCTGGGAGAGCTGGGGTGAAACAGCATTGCACTGTCAGTAGTTGCAAAAGATGTTTGCATCTAAACCTAGACTTCGAGACAAATGCCTCCCAATTCTTATTCCAAAAAAATAGAGCAGCAATTTAGGACAGCAGTCTTGAGAACTCATGACACCTTGGAATCCTGTGTGTTTTATATATATGAACTATGACAGTGGGTCAGACCAAAAATCCCTCTATCACATCCTAAAATTACCTTTACTTGTGTACTTGGATAGGTCTAATGTATATTTCTTCTGGCATACAGTGAACCATTAGTGCCAGTTGTAAATAACACAACAACTTGCAATTTTGAAGCATTCACAGTACCAAGAAAAGGAAAAAAATCTAGGTCATTAAGGTTCTAATCATACAGTCTCTTATACTTTTATGTGTTCTTAGTTCAATTGGACAATTGCTAGAAGTATAGCTGGGAAAGATTTAACTTTTTTTTCTTTTTACAAATATCACAGAAACACAGGCTTCTATTACAAATCTGTAATTTACATGGGAGAAGCATTCACAAGTGGGTACAAATTTCCAGTGTAAGAAACATCCAAGTAATGGGAAATAATTTAATATATTTGTCCCACAAAGTTAATTGTTTCATAAAAAAATGGCCACCCTGTAACAGAGTTCAAATCTATTTTGATGACTGAAATTCTTCTGCCTACACTATCTGAATAAAAATGGCATTATTCTTAAGAAGGTACTGGCAAAGGAAATAGGTGAAATATCAAGAGAGCAACATACAGAAGCACCTCTTCCCCCAAATGAGGCTGGTACTGGGGATGGGCCAGGTCGCTGGGGTGGTACTGGAGGCTGATGTGATGATCTAGTTGTTGGAGGCCTGTCTAAAGAAAACAAAAATCCCAAACTAAACAATTATATAGAGTTTGGTTATTTTATTCCCATTAGATCTTTATGAAAAAGAGCCCTTGCAATAACCTACATACACAATATATCATAGAGATATTGGTTTACTATATAATGGACAGTTGCTTTATGATTAATGTTGTATTGGAAGTTACAGGCTCATCTCTTCCTTTGGTGGTGAGGTGACTATCTGCTAGTCCGTTGGCTCACACCATTTATTTTCATTCACTTCAGTGCAGTGACCATGAAACACCAGCCAGTCTAGATGGCATTTTTGTACTCCCGCTTCATTTAAAAAATGACAGGCAGAGAAATCTGATCTTTTCTTTTCCCAGTTTTCACTAGAGTTTTTGCCACCATTGTAACAACTTGGTCTGTTCAAGATTGCACCACCAAAGCTAATACAGTATGCGCATAACTTCATGCGGATTCAACTCAAAGGCCAAATAACACACATATCACACAAAATTAATCTTTAATCCAACAGAGCTTGTCTGAAGTAGAAAATTTAGCTTTAAAAGGCACAAAGGTACTGACATGCTGTAAGTCTGGGTCACTTAATCTTGTTCATGAACTGTACTGTTGACTCCAAGGAAAAATCTTCTATATTCAATTACCAGCCATCTAGAATGTGACTGGTAATATGTGAAAACATCATTTAAAAATTAATAACAACACTTAATTCTCATTAATTACCTATATAATCTGTGTTGTTTGCAAGTGACTTGGCAGGAAATATGACATTGTGGTGTGCTTCATCATTATTGGATGGAGGTGGTTCATAGCCATCACTGTCATGTTCTGCTTCCTCAGCTTCTTCTGTTGGTGATTCATAGTCAGCCTCATCTTCCTTTTCCTGGTCATCATCAGGGCTTTCATAGTCATCATCTTCATCCTGGCAAATGTACATAAAAGATGGGTGCTGTAACAAGATACTAAACACATCAGTGCAATTTCCTTGTGGCCTTTCACTGTGGTATTTTTCACTCCGGAGTGTATCAAGGTTTTAAAACCAGTTTAAGTGAAAAAATGTTGAAATAAAATGGGGAAAGGAAGCAGCATCTTATTAATGCATACAGCACACAACAGTTAAGAAAGGAAACAAGCATCATTTTATAACAACTGCAGTGGAAGGTCTCAAGATCAGATGATAGTTTATTGAAATGCACAGTGCCTTTGGTAACAGACAAGGCATCAGCAAACAATTCAGTGCTTCCTAGAAACACTTTGGAGGAGGAGTTGATGCCTGTTGATATTCATTCTTAATAGCATGCACTCTACAGCCTGCAACTCAACTATTTAAAAATGCTTCAGAAAAAATGAGGTCTTTGATATGAAATTTGGTGCCCTCCACTGACCCAAACCAAACCAGCTTAATACAATTTGTAGGACCTAGTAAGATCACAGTGAAAATAGGGTAGCAGTCATTGCACACATCTGTGCAATCCACCAATGCTCACAAGAAAAAGAATATTCAGTTTGTCATTGGTATCTTGACTGAAAGTTCCAGACTAGCTCTGTATTGACAGAAAGCTCAGGTGCTCTATAGGTGGTTAGTTTTACCTTTTGTGCTCCTAAAATAGCAGCATATCTCCTGCAAACTTAGTAGCAAGTGGTTTTTAAAAGTCACTAACTTTTTGGAAAAAAAAAAAACCAAAACATTGGCAATGGTCAGTTTAAGAGATCTTCATAACCCTGGACTGTGCCTCAGTCAGCTTATTCACTTGTTAGTTTAGTTGTGTATGCACCAATGACATTTACCGATGCATTTTCTATGCTGAAAGGCAAAAGAAACTTCTGCAGTCTAATTGGCTTTAAAAAAATAGATTCTTCATCAAATCAACTCTGAAGAATAAAATAATAATTTGCCACTGAACAACATAGCAAACATTCCTTTACTAGCCACCTCTTCTAAGAGCATGGAATAGGTATATAAAATTGAGCTAAGGTTCTGTGGAGACCTGGTCATAGGCTGTGAGCTTCTACTTGAGGCAGTGGTATAGGACTGCCATTCTCTGCCCTGCCTTACTGGGGGAGACCCTTTTCTCACAGATGAAATTTGCATGCAGCTCTCCAGTCATTCATGCTCCTGCTTCTTTCTCCTCATTCTTATGCCTCCTGCCATTGCTCACTCCATCCGTGCTCCCCAAAGCAGATAATGCCAGAAATTACAGACTTTATGGAAGAGGTAATCCATTCAACCATTAGGTTTTGTATACTCACAAATGAAGACCAGCCACCATCTTCTTGACTGTATCCTGTGTAAAGAAGCATAACCACAGACTTCTTAGCATGTACAACTTCAAACCATCAAGACATAACTTGACAAAAAGGACACAACAAATCCCAGATCAGTTCTGAATCAGAATACTATGTCACAGGAACAAGGAAGGTTTTTGAAAGGCAGGCAAGCTGTCATGAAAGGTACTACAAATAACACTGATTCAAAACTAAGAGTATAGTTATCCTTGTATGAAATATGTGCTGCCACTTCAAGTTTGTCCTATACTTCCAGTGTTAAACATAATTTGAAATAGGATGCTTTCAGAATGAGCACAAAATTCTTATCTCTTTGTTTAATACTATTTATCTTTCATCTCAAAAGGCTTTTTTTAATTTCAGTAGGACTGGGGGAACATGGTAGCTTGCAGAAGTTTTTAAGTACCTGTGGCATACTAAGAAAACAAATGAAATAATAATTCAGAACACAGCAGACATCTAGAAGCTTACCTCTCTAATACAGGGTGCTGCTAGGAGTAGGGGCAGAGGGGTTGAAATATATAAGGACTAATACCATGTATTGGTTTAAAGGAAGGAAGATTGGGGATGTTCATGTAAATGTCTCTGCTCTTGCCTTTCTTCACAATCTTTTTTCTATTTTAAAAATATTTTTTCTTATTGTTCTCCTTTAACTACTCTTTATTCCTTTTGCAAATTCTTTGTGCTCTCATCTTTCCCTGATTATTGTTTTGGGTTCTCTTCCCCTGCCCCCCTCCCATTTACTCTGCCCTGCAAGGATTAATCTAATATTTTAATATTTTAAAACACTTTCTGGTTTTAGAGACTATCTGCCAGTACATACTTACCTGGATTTTCAGGACTTTTTTGTGTTTGGCCCCTACAACAAAGATACAAAAGAAATAAATTCCTTCCATTTGCAGTTCTTAAATATTTGAAGCATACTAAAATATATTGTGAATAAAGGTAAGAGTTAACTTTAACAGAATGAAGTTTGTATATATGAGTTTAACTGTGCCCAAAATGCTAAAAAACACACTACATATTTCACATACAGGATCCCGATGTAAGCTAAACTGTCTTGAAAAAAATTCAAGTCAGTGTGGTTGAGTGTTTAGAAACAACGGGACTCAGTAAATAAATTTATCAGAGGCCCTGGTCCTGAAAATAGAAACGTTCTTTACTAATTCCATTCAAGCTGCTGAAAGTCAAGTTCAAATATTTTTAGGGTTGATAAATATTTTTATGGTTTTCAATTCTAGTTTTGAACTCTAGTTAACGCAAAGGTGTAAAATCGTGTTATCAGATGATGTAAAACCATGTTATGTAGACTAGACTTAGATTTTCATTGTGTGTGAATATAAACTATTCTTTTTTCATGCAATTTTCTTGCAATTTTTGCTCCTTTTCTATTGCAAAAATATTCAATGATAAGTCATAAAGTACTAAAAATTGTAATGATTTATAGGTCTGTGAAATGCATTAACGATTATTTATTAGTGCAATAGTATGTGCCTAGGCTTTATAGCATTCCTAAAGATTCATTTACTCAGGTGGAAAATTGTATGAAATTTGGATGTTACTTGGTTCCAGAAATGGCAGAAGTATCTAGGGTGTTCATGGGCTCAGATTTTGCTATTCTTAACAGATGACATTAACAAAACAGTTTTCTTTTATATAGTTTCCAGGCTGTCCTTCTGACCAAGCTATTACTGATCAAATGGAAAACAGTCCAGAAAAGACATATCTGAAAGCTTTGAAAAAGAAAGCTGAATTGCATTACTTACCATTTTGGAAAGAAGGATAGCCGCCCTTCATTTCTGTTTATTTCTTGACTTAATTTACTTACAATTCTATTTAAAAGAAACACAAAAATAGTTTTTAAAAAATGCATTGAAATTTGTCAGTAATTTTCTTAGCTTCTTTCCCTCAATATTTACTAAATTAAATCTGTTAATTCAGTAAAATTATTTACTATTAATATTGAATTTATCATCTTATTGCAAAGTTGCACTATAGCATATCCAATTGAAGACTAAACTTTTTACATGGATAAAAACCCATATTGTTAGATTAAATTTAAAAATAAACTTTAAACCCAGCAAGCCTTAGCAACTTTGGGTGTGGTTGACAATCACGCACTAGAACATTGCTCTAAATAATGGCGAATGCATTTGTATTATTTTGTATGGAAAGAGCAGATCATGCTTCAGGAATCAGCTTTCTACCAAGCTTATAGTTGCAAAAGCAGGGATTAAATGTACTCTGCGTCTACTCTCTTCCTTTTGTCTCCCTCCCTCCGCAACCAAGATAATACCTAATCCAGAATCCCTCCAGTAAAGAAGGCGAAAAGGTTGATTTAGTTCTGTGTTATAACACATTTGTAGGACAGGGTAGAAATATTCATGGAACATACAAAGACTGTAGCTTTACACGTAGAGATTTTTCCAACTGGATGTTGTTGTTATACTCATGTAGTTTGTACACAGCAGTAGGCTGAATAATAACCCATGAAATGCTACCTTGAGTAAAACTTCTGTCCAGGGCATGCATTTATACTGTTAATATTGCTGTCATCCACAGCCAGCACAGACATCTGGGATGGACAGTTTTTGCAGTGACTGACTCCCCGAGAACAACTCTGAGGTTACAGGACAGTCAGTCCAGATTTTAACAGAACCAAGTCCACTGAGAGCAACAGAATTCTGATCTGCTAGTGTTTTTCCAGTTATCAGGCCTAGCATAAAGGACACAGCCAGCATAAAGATGAACCAATAACCAAATTGTATTTGGTACAAAAGGGTCAGTACATGGGTGAGCACTGGGGGTACAAACAAGTCAGATTATACATAATGGACATCAATCCCACTGACCCAAACAACAACACTGCATGACCAACAATGGGTGGAATAAATGGTGAAATGCAATTTCCTGTAGAAAGGACAGGAGACAACCAATTCAACAACCCAAATACATAAGACCAAGAAAGCCTCATACTGAATCTCTACACAGCCCACATTTACAACAGCCAGACCTGACTGGAGCCCAGTCCCAGGGAGGAAGGAAGGCCCTTCCCCAGCAGGGAACTCTGCACAGGACATCTACCTCACAGACAGACACTGCCCCTGCCTGCAAGGGGTCCCAGCTTTTATCCCTCAGTGGGACACCTGACCTTGGGTTACTTAATGCAGACACCTGGGGCTCCTTTACCCAATGGCTCTGTCTGCCAGGCCGGCACCACCCTGGAGGGAAGCCTGAAGGGAAACTCACCCCCCCTTTGGGAAGGGCTGTGGGAATCACCCAGATATCAACCTTAATTTGGGGCTGGGGGTTGAAACCCCAGCATTGCAGCTAGTAATGAAGTTTGCGTTTATGATTATTTTGTTTCACATAAGGTTTTTGTTTCAAAGAAAGCTTATGATGAGTCATGGTCTGATTCTTAATTCTCAATATTTCTGGGGAAAGTCCCAACGAGAAAATCCTGTGACAACAAAAGCAAATTGGTTTAAAAGATTCCATTTTACTCGTAGCCTATATTACCTAGATCTGTCAGAGGTAGTAATTGTGGAAATAAAAGAAGCATGGAAAAAAATAAGGAACTTAACGTATTTGTTTATTTCAGATTCTAAACTCTGTAAAATCTTTATTGTTTGTTAGTGCAGAATTCTTTTCTATGCATCTTTGATTTGGTCAATCAAACTTTATATCAGTATTGTAAAGGGTTTTTTTAATGGCCACACAGTTACCACTCTATTTTGTTTTTCTTTCTCTTTCATATCTTTTTCTGCTACACAGCAATAATAATCCCCTAGTTTTTTCCAAATGACCTAATTTGTGCATCTCTTTCATGTTTAACTGCTTTTCTGGGCTGGGACTTGAGGAAGACAAATTTTCAAGCAATCTAATATTTTCAAAAAAGCCAACAAAAACATACCGGGTTTTTTTTGATCCTGAACCATACTAAAAATCTTTTCCTTATTTTGATTATCCTTTCTCTTGCCCTTTTTACTTTCCTAATACTTACCTTACTGTAATTCAAACTAAAAGACAAATTCAGGGAATAGCATTGCTCTGTTTGATTATGGAAAGTGCTATAGAGACTGATCAGACTGCCAGCAAGATCAGAAGGATAGATCAGACTATAGGGATATAGGGATAGATATCAGACTAGGAATAGGAATCAGACTATAGGGATAGATCAGACTACCAGCAAGTATCAGAGAACAAGCAATTTCAGATCAGTATGATCGTGCTGTCTGAAAAAGATGAAGATGAGTCATTTGACATTAAGGACGTGTACATAAGGATCCAAGTATGAAAACCAAAAAGAATATTTTTTGGTTTTTCTTTTTTAAGAGAATACTTAGCAATTTTCTGTTTTGAAGCAAATATTGTCATACTTGTCCCTTTTGAAACAAGCACATGCACAAATGTTAGTAATTTCAGGATTACAGCTGTCTAAATCTGACACTGTTACCCAAGCAAATCATATAAAGCAAGAAAAATGCCAAATTATAGGCACAGAACTCCTCTTGCTCTTCTTTCCCATGCAATGAACACTCCTCTGCGCAAGAAATTGCCTTCTGCTGCAGGTGATAAGGAAGGTGCTGTGTGAGTAATAGATTCTACATGAAACAGTATCAGGAAATGTTCCGGGGTGAACAGTGCACTGCATATACCAGTGCTTTGGGTAAAAAGTGGGTTACGGAACTTGTTTGTGGCTTATTCTCTGTTGTAGAAGAGGTAGAGGAAGGATCTTTCTTCATATTGTGTTTATTTTCAGCTAGAGAAGTAAAACTAAGATCACTGGGTTTAGAGCTAATAATTCTTTTAGTTGAGACCTCCATGGGTATGAACGAGACCTGAGCATTTGGAACCTTTCTGGATTAAACCTAGGCTAGCTGCTATGAGGATTTACACCAACTGGCTTTTGAGGAAACATTGAAAGGAAAAAGTTGCTCATCTTATCTTGCTGCCAAAAATTAATCATTTGCTGCTTAAAATACAGTGTGTAATCTTTATTTGAAATGTTTCAAACCAATGGCTCAGAGAGGTTATTAGAAGAAAGCAAATTTTAGAATGGTAACACTTTACAAGCAATGTTATTACAGAAGATGGGTGTACTGAGCAGCTGAGTCTGTAGCCATGTGAGGAAGGAAGTGCCAAACCACACTGCTTTCTGAGTTGTGGGAGTGGATGATAGGAGAGGATAAGGCAACAGCATTTGCAGAAAATGTTACTCAGACTTCTCTTTCTCTTTCTAAAAAAAAAAAAAAAAAAAAAAAAAAACAAACAAACACACAACCAGCCCCCAAAAGCAGTACTCCAAAACTGTCTTTTGTTTGCCTAACTGCAGATATTGTCGTGATTAGAATCCATTCTACCTATATAAAGGTAGATAGATATAAAGAAATAAAGGACTTAAGATGGGTGAGAGAGACGGAACTCAAAGTCCTCTAGGACCGGGAAGTTGCGTAGTTGCATATTGAACACTGTCAAGAGCATAGTTTGTGATGAAGACTTTGCTTTGGCCTTTGAGAAAAGCCTGTTGGGCAGATGCAATGCTATTTTGTTGGCTTCAAAACTGACTGATTATCAATTATGTTCTAAACCTTTCAACAGCCTTTAGAGTCTCATCTGAGAGAGCATGTGTGCACACATTCACCTCCTCCCATGGCATATCTTTTTAAAAGAGAAAGGCACCATAGATTTCTTAATTTTTAGGTTTGTACTTTGACTCTTCTGAAAACAGGACTTTCAGACTGTGCCATGTTTGCAGGCTCCAAATGTGTCCCATTCAGAACTCAACACATTTATCATGTTAGAACAGACAGGTGCAATTATGTATTCTAGCGCAATGATGCTCTTTTTATTACTGGAAATTTTCACAAGTGCTATGGGATATGCCATAAGCTTTCAGACCAAGCCAGCAACCTGCCACTAAGGATAGCCAAAGAGATCAATAGCTCATAGTACCTTGACTTACTGAAAAATTGGAAATGTTTTCTCTCAATATAATAAACAATCAGAGCAGCAAAGACTAACATCAGGGTTTAGATCACGGTTCAGGTATCGACCAACCACCAGCATTATTTAGAATGAGATCTTTTCTTTTTCTTGTTTATTAATTCTGACCACATTAAGTAAGGCACATTCTGTTGAATGCATTTTAAAACATTTTGCAAGACTCACATTTGTTATCCACAAGTATAAACCTTTATGACCTTCTTTGACTGCCAAGTGATAATGAGCAACAAGAAAACCCTGTGTCCCTTAAGCTGTATCTTGGTTTCTTGTTTCATTAGATTTATTATCAAAATTATAATTGCACCCTCATAATTAGGTCTGAGTTTCATTTAGCACTTAAGACAGATGTTCAGTGTTTGCTCTGTGTAAAATATACCATATCCCTTCCCTTTTCCACCAATATACCACTTACTCTTTCAGGATACTGTGTGTTGGTGGTGAAGCTTTGGGTGTGCATGTTAACCTAGTGCTATTAATATTAACTTAAATGGTTCTTTCATAAGGTATAGCAAGTAAAAGAGTAATATGAATGAGCTAAACAAAAAATATAATCGTTTTTAAGAGTTTTTCATATTGTTAGAAAAATGCCAAGTGTTAAGCATAGTGTATGTTTGAAGAAAATGGGTTGCAACTGAGCTAAGCTATTAATAACTGACAAATTGTTAGGTCAACCATAATGCAGTCTTACTTTGGATGACAGCTACATTCATGATAGCCCAATCTCTAAAGCTGATGGTTGTGTCATTTATTTTAATTTTTCAGTGGGGAAAAGGAGAAAATGTATGTGTTAGGCATTCCTACTAATAGAATATTTGGCACAAATGTTGCTGCTCCTTAAAGGTCTGTGGCAATGTAATAACTTCGGGATAATGGCTGAGTATCTCCTGGGCCATAGATTTCCACTAAATCTGAGAACAGGTGAAGTAGGGAAAAACCCTTCATGGTCTGGAACCTGGAGGTTGGGTTCCACCACATATAATCATGCAGTATCAGGTCTTCAGAGATGGATCATCAGTGCCATGGCAAATCTGTGTAGGTCATGGGAACAGATAGGCATATATCTTTTCACAGAATTGAAAATTATGCTTAAATTCTTAAGATATGGTTAGTATTCTTAAAAGTAAATTTTTACCAATGATTTAAAGCTAATACTCTGTATCTTCAAATAGAAATTTTTATGTTCAGGTCGAAATGTTATGTGGTGGCATTTTTTGTTTAGATGGAGCACTGCCTGAAGCTCAGCATGTGTCCAAGTACTGCCTTTTGAACCAGAGCCTTAAACCAGTCCAAGAATCTCTCCTCACTCCCTCATCCCTATGTTCACCCAAAGCAGTTCAGCTACAACACAGAACTAACAAAGATCAAGTGGCTTTTTCCACCTCCCTCTTGTTTAAAGGAAAGGGTAAAAATGAAGTGGTGAGTGAGCTGTACTCTGCCTTTTGCTTTGAGACTTTATGCCTGAGATAGACCTTTGATTCCACTGTGCACCTAAGTAGCAATGAAAGAAATATTTCCATGTTAGATCAAAATATAGCATTAAGCAAAGTTAATTTTCTAAGCTTCTTCCTAAGATTGCTTTAATAGCAACATAAGTGCAAGAGGTCTCGGGGTTCTAAAGAGCGACAGCATCATCAGTGTAAATATTCTGAATGAGAGTAAAAACTTCATATTTATGAGAAGCCCCAAATGGAAAAATAGGTTCAAATCTGTGGGTTTACTTAAAGGCCTAGATGCTGTGAGGAGAGGGCACATGGGTTTTCAGTTGTCTAATGCTCTGTTTTGCATAGCTTTATGCATAATTCAAAAATGAGGACAGCTTTTGGTTTTGATCCTCCCAATTACTCCATGACAAAGTCAGTCTTCATTCAGTCTTCATTTTCCATCCTTCACCAGAAATAATGCCCCAATAGACGTGCAGGACAGATTTCCTTAACCATGCCAGTAAAGGTCACCTTGTGTACAAGACCTCAGTGTCTCTTACAGGCATACAGGAAAGTCAGGTGGTGACTGCAGACAAGAATGGGAACTGCTGTTGAGGTGAATGGACTGTGGAGTCTGTTATGATCCTTCAAGAAATCTATCTGTGCATCTGCAGGTGCAGTGAATCCTTATCATCCATTAACACTTTTGCCTGCAAAAGAATTGCCTGAATAAAACTTGCAGGACTGTCTGGATGAGTCAGCCACTTTGATACGGTGCCCTTATATATGTAAACTTCTTAGCAAAGTTTTCAATAAAGAGTTCAGCCTTCTTAATGGAGAGTTTTAAAGATTTTATGAAGTATTTTAGTTTTCAAAATAGTGCTTAAATCCTTTTTTGATACTTGAAAATAAGCCAAAAGAAGATTCATGAAGATGTGCACCTGTAACATGGCTAGTGGAGATTAACTTTCAAAATAATAATTCTGTTAATAATAACAGAAGATTGTGGGGATTTTTTATTAGTTTCAGGAAATGGCCCAACATACTTTGTAATGACAACTGTTACCTACTTAGGCACTTCAAGATTCTTGAGAACGTCACAGAATCATCCCCAAGTAATGTCATAGTTATATTCAAAACCTGATCAGCAGATTTGCTCAAACATACATATTTAGTAAAACCACACTCCCAGCTCAGGAGGTCTATATGGGTGCAGGCTGTGGTTTGCAAACCTTGTATACTTGCAAGCACTGGGTTCTGTTCTCAATACATGTAGGTCAGCATAACCACGCTGAATTTACTGGAGAGCAACCTCTCTTGGATATGTGGGTTTTATTCATTCCACTGGCCAATGCTGTAAGTGTGATGCTTGATATTTATATTAAGCATTTTTACAGAACGTGTTCAGATCTTAGCACTGTTGTGAAGTATCAGGTACTAGAACTACAATATGCTAATCTGTATTTCAGCTTGTAGACAAACTCTTCTTACAAGGTGAGGTTCACATTATGATATAAAAGTGAGGTGTGAATGTGTTCTAAGTAAAGGTCAACAGTAAGCACTTTCCATTTTGGTGAGAGCACAGAGATTCTCAAGTCATGAAATTAATGTTTAAAAAATGACAAGTTCTTCTACCCATGAACTTTATTGTCTTGGGTTTGATTTTGAGGGGGGTTTTGGTTTTGTTTTTAAATGGCAACCAGTTCTCTTTCCTATTAAAGCTCTAAATTCTTGTTTTAAACAGTGGCATTACATGGAGGACCCCATATCACACCAGCCTTTTTCCATGTATATTCACAATATTTTAGTGAATTGTTTCCCTGTTTGTGAGGCGAAAGTTGAGAACAAAAGCATTAATTCCAGAACTTCCATTCAGATTTATTAATTCACTTATTTATTCAGTTCTTCAAGTTGTGCACCAAGCTTCACTCTTCTTTTAAAGCTCTTTTTTTTCAAGTTCTCTTCTTGTTGAGAAACCCACAAGATCTGACTAGAAAAGGCTGTTCATTTTCTGCTAGGGTGTTACAAGGTAAGTGGACTGTGAAAACCGAATTTTCAAAATATTTTTAAGATATCAATAAATTAGACAGGGAGATATGAACAACTCCACATTGTTAAATTTCATTTTAACTATTCACCTTTGATATTAATAACTCTTGTATGCATGTGTCTTGTATGCGACCTTCCACTGACCTTTTGACTCATGAATTTGAAAGGAAAGCACCACAAGTTCTCAAAATTAGAAGTTTGAACAAGGAGAACATAAGGCAATGTTCTGTTTGGAACAGTTATGGAGGTGAAAATTATCAGGGATTTACAAGCAATGTGTTTTACAGTGTGGTAAGATGAGTTTTTCACAGACAATATGCTGTAACTCTGGTGTCTCAGTCTCAGTAACCGTAGTTAAATGTTGCTTTTAATTGTCAGTAAGTTTAAAAATGCTGAGATCGGGGCATCTTTTTTATAGCATCTTGGCTCCCTTATTAATTCATCATACACCACCAATCCCTATTATCAGGAAATTTGTTGTGTGAAAACACAGGTATGATCTTAAGAAACATGTCGTGTCCAAGGCTTTCAAGTTCAAGTCCTTGCATATCTGATCCAAACAGAGGTATCCTCCTGCCCTCAGATCTAGCCACCAGCTTACCCATAAGTGCATGAAATACAGACCACACAGGTATTTCAAAATTCTTCAGTATTGTTAGCTTCACCGAAACATCATACACAGGTTCTGACACATCAGAAAAGGCAAAGCAGACTATGTCCCATAGCAAAATCAAGGTATGCAGAGAGGGAGTGAGTGTGGAACTGGGAAATGAGCAACAAAGAAACTGACATGTTGAAACAACTAAATGACTTGAATTCCTTTTTTTTTTCATCCTTTCTTTGTTTGGAAGACCATAAAGGTCTCATGGTCACCTAACCATGTGTCTCATTGTTAGGAACCTCTTAACTTACAGTTTAAATATGTATCAGAGAACTCATAGCAAAATAAAATCCTTTGTTTTTCACCATGAAATATGAGAAGAAGCTAATTACTCTGTACTAAATAAGATTATTGTATTTTCATTTAGTAACTGTTGTGAAATTATGAAAACTATTCAGATAAATACAAAATTTTTCAAGGCCTAATCCAGAAGAGATGAGGAAAGCTATTTAACACTGAACCAAATGTTCCTGACTGATTTAACACCTGCCTAAAGGAGAAGCACATGATGAAAATGGATTGAACTCCCCAACTGTACATACCTGATTTTTTTATTCCTTTGAGTTAGTCAAAAGTTAAGCAGTGAACAGTTAAATCATATTTCGAAGGTAATATTGGCAAAAAAGTTTAACTGTGTAGCTGCTCTCAGTCAAAGAATTTATGGATGAGTTCTTTTGAACATCCCCCAGAAATTTTTTTTGTATTGTATCATTGTGCTTGAGCAGTGATGACAACAATCCATTTAGTTTGGAACATCCTTCTTTTTCTCACAGGACACCGCAATTAACAGGTCTCTAACTAATCACTTGCCTGATATTTCCTATGAGTTTTCCCTGCAGACCAACTAAAATAATTTTTAACGTTAAACTGGTTTGGCTTTACTTACGGCACTCTGAGTTTGGGAAATTTCTGAATATCATTTTCAGACATGTTCTGAAAAGGAAACACATGGTATATATGACAAAATCGTTCATGGAACACCCTGCAGCTTACAGAAGTTTGCATATTTAAAAATGTGGCATGAAGCTTCAACTGATAGGAATATAAAGCACATAGAAAAACAATGCAAGAAAAGAGCCTTCACATCCCATGGCTCATAAGCAAAGTGAACTCATTTTCATAAAAAATACTCTCTATACTTTTTCTGTTTTGCTGGATGTTGATTTTCACTTTATGTTGCTGCCAATTGTATTAATCTGGCTAGGAGGTTAATAAACACCTTGTGTATTTGTTTACACACAAAGGACTTCAACAAAACAATCACATCTGACTTCAAAGAGAAGTATTTCTGTAGCTAGAATGTTTTAATGATAGCTTGTTAAAAATGTCTGTAAGGAAAAGTAAAATCTTAAACCAGCTCTTACCAGATAAGAGTTAGGTAAATTTGTTTTGTTTACCAGCAGATGAGCTATTCTTCCAAATTAATTTCAAATGGGGATTCTGTGCAAAGTTAAGTCAAGTAATTTATTTTTCTGATTTGGTTTCTAATCCAGTTCTTTATTGATGTCATATTTTTACATTGACTTACAGGCAATGTTAAAATTCTTCCCTGCTCTGCTTCTGAAAAGAACTTGAAATAAAACCCTCTTCTGCACCAGCTTTCTCCCCAGAGATTGTCAGAGATTCTTAAGCTAAAGCAAGTGAAAACACAGTAAACCAAAAAATTCCAGAATTATTTTTAAGTCTCTGGGTTTTTTTCTATTTTCACTCTCTTGCTTTCTGGATATTGCTTTTCCTTGTACATTACCATCACCTAGCACACAGGAAAACATATTCTTTGTGTATTTATTGTTAAAGAAGTCTCGGGATACTGTAAGTCCTCTTGGTGGACAATGTCAAACAACTAATAGAGAGCTACATCCTGGTAACATCCTGTGGTACTGATTACAGGTGTGAGTTCAACGGAACATGCATGGTCTGCTTGAAATCGTCATCAGTGGCACTCTTTCTGACAATTTTGGAATTATGCTTCTCACAGTGAATATAAAAGAATATTTCAAATGCTTTTTAAAAGACTTCTGTTTTTAAGGCAATGTGCAATGAAATGTTCTTTGTAAAGGGTTGTTTCAGGTAGGGAAGGCAAACTTCTACCACAGACTCTGATTTTATACTATTTTGCTTCACATCTTTTTAGTACAGCTAAAAAATACGGTATTTAAGTGACTTCAGAAGCTAGATATATTGAATTAATTCATGTCTGCATAGTGAAATTAGGCAAAGTTGTGCATTATTGCAAAGTTTCAGGGTAAAACTGCAAAATTTTAAAGTAGAGCACTGTTAGCTGGAGTTTTGTGCTAAGAACCTTATCTGTAACATCACAGTGTATGTAAAATCACATGTTCTAGTGCATATGTAGCTGAAAAACACCTTGGATTTAAGAGCAGCCTTGGCAGCCCAACAAAAATCTTTGTAGAAACTGGAATGGGGGGTGAGAGTGTTTCTCCCCCTTTCAACCATAATATAACAATCAGATTGCAGATTACCGAGATGCACTAAGCCTTGAGAGCTTTACTGATGATCCTTAGAGAAAGTCAGCCCCTCTCTTCTTCCACCATGTGCAACTCTAAATTTAGGCCAGATTAGTGCATTATGAAAACTTTCCAGAAAGTGTTTTGTGTGGTTAATCACAAGCTTCACCAACTCTCTTTGGAACATGGATGATAGTCTGGTTCTTTCTGTCTTTCTTACTGCCAGAAAAAAGAAGGTTCCAGTTACACATTGGTTCACAGTGCTATCAATGATTTTCAGGACAGAACAAATCCTATCTGTGTTTTCCAGCACTATTTTGCTTCTGGGAATAATCTCAGTAGTAAAACACAGAAAAAAATGTACTCCCTTTGTAGAAAGGTCCTGCAGGATTTACTGGAGAATCTTAATTTTTTCTAAAGACTTTTTAAGTTTCTCTCTGGAATTCTATTTTGGTGATACACCTGACAAGTATTATGGGTTTAACTCTCATAAAAGGACTAAGTTGCCATTTTAAATATTAGAGAATTTTATTAAAGTTACATGAAATCCCTCTGGTTTTATTCCTACTGCAACTGAACTGGACTTTCCTTGTGGTAGACTTTGAAGAAGAAATGTGACTTTGAAACTAAGATCTTATTCTGATGAATAAGATAGCAATATTTTCATAGTCAGATTTACCATATATATCTGATAATAGATACAAAACCTGCAAACCTTCAGTCTAACAGTTTATTCTGTGTGAACATAATTTGAAAGTTTCCAATAACTTATAAAATGTAAAAAGATATTTCTTAGAAAAAACATTCATACGGAGAAGTACTTTTTCTTTCAAGTTTGCATTGTACCCTGGAATATTCAACTTAAAGTCTCCTTTTGTTGTTCTGGTTAACAGGTTCACTCTTTTGCATTATGCAATTGACTAGTAGGTCTAAAGCTTAAAAAAAAGTCTCAGCAGATGTGAGCTGCTACTTGCTTACTTAATAGAAAAGCATCCTTGAATCTACTAGGATGCTTCTGAAGAAATGCTGCACCCTGAGCTATGTATTTACAGAAACACTCTGGAAATAATAAAAAAAATACAAAAATCACTTAGGAATCCCACAGTTACTGCTCTTGTTATTTGTACCTCACAAACTTCCAGTATTTCATAATGCTTTTAGAGCCAGAACTCCCACTCCAGCCGCAGATCCTTAATGCTTGACCTAAGGAGAACCTCTTGGGGTTTAGTAGGATAAATCCTATGACATTACATCTGAATAATTCTGACTCCACCTAGTAGGAGGGAGGTGTAATATTCTACTCCTACAAAAGGTGTTTGAAAATTTTTATGTTGCATTCAATGAAATGTCAAAATGCTTGATACATTAGGACAGTAATAAATAAGAAGGCTTTAGAAGAGGTATGCGTAGATTACCCTGCTAAAACCAATTACACAGGGTGTGTATTGAAGACCTGAAAGCAGGAGCTATGTCAGTGGAAGTTGTCAGCTTTTCTAAAGTTAAGCCAAGTTTTTGGTAAAGCCTTGAGCAATGTTGTGTTGAACCCACTGGGACTTTGCTTACTAGTTTAGGTGCTCTTAAAATTCACTGATTTCAGATATTGTTGCAGAAGAAATCTAATTTTAACTATAGAGGTATGAGATAATTATTACAATAGGCCAGTCATTCTGACCAGGTCTGCTTCTTTATCAGGAGAGGACAATTAATAAATGTGAGTTTTCTGTAGTTAGTATTTGAAAACAAGCACTTCCTATAAAGGAAGAGATGAATTCAAGACAAGGCTGTGGTTTTATAACTTGCCTGTCAGTTTAAAAAATACTGAAATATATGCATATTAAACAACATGCTTGGGTTCTCAGCATTCCATATTTAAAGCAAGATGTCTGTCTGATTTTAGCAAAGGCATTTACTTCTCATTTTTATACCTCAGTAACCATCTGTGAGCTAAGTACTTTGCATCTGCCAATGCAAAGTAAGGAGGTGTCAAAACAAACACTTGACTGGAATTTTACAGGCAGGAATTTTACAACTCTACTTACCAAAAACCTTTGTCCATTTATGCTGTGCTTTCTCACAACTTTCTCACAGTCCTTATATTTTAACTGTCAATGAAAAGGAGATGATTATTGCACCCTTAATTATAAGAATGGATTCAGACACTTAGACATATGACTAGCTTTTAGTAGTTACCCTTTTTTATGCTAGAGCCTGTCTAAATGGCTCATTTTATTCTGTAAACATGGATTTTTAAGACAAAGATTCTTCAGTGGACTTGAGGATTTTCATCCATTTAGGAACATGTAATTCATGACATTTAAAAACCATCTCACAGTTGCCTGGCCCAAAGAAATATTTGGAAAATTGATAGTTGTGGTACTGACTGGGATAAACAATTGCAGAAAACAGGAAGTACAGCAAAAACCTGAGCATCTTGGCCCTGATCCCAGTCACTGAATTAATTTCTGTGAACCAAAACCTTCCTCTTCTGGATGGAAACGGCACTTGTTATTCCTGGAAATTATCTAGAGTATTTGGAAATCTTTTCTACAATATTATATTTTACCATAGCATCTAGGACATGTATTTTATAAGGTGATCATGTACATAAGACAAGAAAGCTCCTGGTCCTACCAGGCAAAAATTTAACAGTAATTTGGGGGACTGACTTAGGGAAGAAAACCAAACCAAACCAAACCAAAAACCGTAGCCACATTTAGCAAGACACAAGTCTCAAATATTTCCCGTAGGTATCTTAAGGGGGTTTTATGTGAACAGTAATAGCATAATGTGAGAACAAGCTTATATTTTGATCTGGCTAGAATGCATTTTTAATATTTCAAGTTGATCAAGTCCAGGCAGACAAAGTGACTTTTTGGAGCTTTCAATACAGAGGAATGGCTCTGGTCCTCCCTGAAACTTTAGTGAAAGTTATATAAACAAATGATCCTGTGCTGCTGGGAGAATTCCCCTAAAGCAGAGAACAACTTATAGGGAGCAATTCTTAGTTCTATCCTATTTATTCATTTTAAGGAGTAATCTTGTAACTTGGTGTTATACGAGAACAGATCCTGAGAGGATCTAAACAGCTGAGAGAATATTTTTAGGAGCCACCTTCAGTTACTCATATGCAGAAACAGACCTAACTCTGCTAAATATTTTAGGATACAGATTAAGACTTTTGTACAGACTGAGGACTTAAACCTGTAAATAATGTCTCTTTCATACAGAGTGTTATCATGACGTTACCAGCACAAGCCTGTATGCAGCAATGAGCAACTGCAATACTTGGTAGAACACATCAGTGTGACTGAGACCTAATCTCACTCCTAAAGTAATTGATGGAAAATACTGTTTAGTTATTAACAATAACCCTTGGGATGTTAAAAACATCTTTGCTTTTTCTAAAAAAAAAATAAAAAAAATTAAAGTCTTTAGAAATTATCTGAAGGTTTGGTTCTTTATTGGTCCTTCCCTATTTTTAATGCATGGTTTAAATTAACATAGGCTTTAAGTTAACATACCCAGAACCATAAATTAGATGTTATTACTGATAAGTATGAAGAATTCTTCTTTGACAGAAACTGAGGCCTCTATTCATGCCAGTAATATATCAGAGTATTGTTACATAAATTACTGATATGTATGCTGGCTGAATTTTGCTACTATGAAGGTGCAGGCTAACAATAAATTGGTGAAAATCTTACCACGCTGCCCTGTGTCGTGACCAAGCACTTCAGGTGAGAGAAGATTTGAATATGATTGTCCTTTGAAAATCATCCCACAATTATCTCAGTTTAGGAGGAGAAAAAATTGTTTATCCCTCTTGGACTTGAATCCTGGACTTTGAACAGATGGCTTCAAGCAACGTATATTAGTAGTCAGATGCAGATAAAGCATTCCTAGGGTATAACATTTGACCCTTTAATGATATGTGTGAGGGAAATTGTATGAGTTTATCTGGGGTGAAGATCTCATCGCTTATGGTAGTTGCCCAGAGCTGGCTGACTTAGGCTGACATTATTGTTTTACACAGATTTCTTAGATGACTTCAAGCAGCTTTTGTCCTGATTCACCTGATCAAAAATGGAATGTCAAGATTACCTCTATCCTGGGGTGTATCTGGATCAGTAGAGCGAGGTAGTCAAAAATAAATGTAACTGGGCCCATTCAGTTATGATACAATTTACAGATAATCCTTTAATCACTGTTAAGAATATCATTATCAGCTCTTTGAGGAAGCCATTTCCCTTCTCAGTTTCTTGGAAATGGTGATCCAAACCACCATGCACCAGTGTTGTAATGTTTTTCATATTTGTCTGAAGTTGCCTGTTGGTAATGATCTCATTTGTTCCCTCCCCAATTCTTCATTTCACTTTTTGGTGCCACTAATCCCTGCAACCTAAAATTAGAGGTTTGCAAGTAGTTGGCAATTTCACTTCTCCGGAGATTTGATACACATAGACTTTGTGTTTGATCTGCTTGTCTTTACTAGCTAGTTTTGTATAGTCGTATTAAACTTGCCTCAGCTCCCTAAATAAAACTCTTACTGAGTTTTAGGATCTGTTGAAACAATAGAGTTAGCATTATTTCAAAATAAAGTCCAAGCTTTCAGGTTTTACAAGTCTAGTCTGTCAGCTCACTTGAAAATGGACTAGCTATGCTGGCATTACTTGAAAATCTACCCAAATCTTCTGATCGATCTGAATGTTAAATTCCAGGCAGACAGTTCTGCACTTTGGGAGGAAGGTATTTGGTTGCAAGGGAGATGGAGCAGGCGGTATTTGTGATGTGAACTGAAAAATGAGCAATTTACAGAGAACACACAGAAATGAAATTTCACTAAAATTGGCTCGGTTACACATTCCTGTGCAAATACAAAGGTGTCAGCATTGCTCTGCAGAGGATATGTATTGGCAGCGAATTCCTTTATTTTCTTTCAAAGTATTTATTCAGTGTGGAAACTCCTTTGCATTGTAAAATGAAATTTATAGATCGTCACAAGTGAAAAAAATGTCAAACGAAACAGAAGGTCCTAGCTAACATCTAACACCCTAGGTAATGTCAGAAAAAGTAACAGTGACATGGAAAAAGGGCTAAGTAGTAATCTTGAGCCAGGAGTTTTGCCCAAGAAGTTTTAGAATAAGGAAGTCAAACCAAAAAGCAAAAGGTTTTTCCAACGGAGCCTAGAACAGTTAGGATTCTGTGTATCCACAGCTGTTAATTTCCTGGCTGGGGTCTCATGGATGTGATTAGCAAAGACATTCAGAGGCTCATTTGTGAGCACTGAGCAATTTGAAAAAAAAAAATCTCTTCTGGAAATCATTGAAGACCTAGAAAACTTGTAAGCTTTACACATTAATGCCTTGTACAGCTGTTTAATATATCATTGTAGTAAAGTGTATATTTTCTCTGAAAAGTTATGAGCTTCTCATACCCGATTTAAAACACACTTTCAAGATTCATTTATAGATTTCACTGGCTAGTTTAGCTCAGTTTCTTAACTGTCCATGGTTTTGCTTTTAGTTTTGCAGCAAGCTTTACCCGTTATAAAGATATGTAAATTTAGCTCAAACATTACAGTAGCTTGTTCCTCCATCATACAAACATGGTTAAACTTACCGTCCTAAAATATTCTGCTAGGTCATCTGGGTTCCATGTAACCACATCTGAACGGTAGGGAATATTTCGTAAATCCATCGTAAATTTTCTCCTCCTGGCAGTTAGAGAGTGGTCATAGCAGTACAATCGATGAAACAGCCCATATATTCCTTGTGTATGACCACCTCCAGTGTGTCCAGCAATTCCTTGCCTAATACCCAGCTTCTTCTGTTTAAGACCTGTTGTTTGGGGATTTTTTTTAATATAGAACTACGTTGTTAGGACATCCAAGAGAGATACTGCTTCCTCTAATACAAAATGGTTTCTTCTCAGAAAAGTTGTCAGCTAGTCAGCCTTACCACTTCCTTTGTCTGAATATAAATAAGTAAACAAGGAAGCACAGCAAAGTGTTGAAAATATTCTGCCTGCTACATATAAGTGAGTTCCTATGGACCCTATTTGCTTGTAACTGCATACATACATATTTATGCATTTACACACTCAATACAGTATAAAAATATTGGCATATTATCTGCATAGACACTGGATACTGCTTCTGTGCAAGTCTAGCCCAGGCAAGCCCCCTCCAAAGAAGAAAGTATTCACCTAAGAGAAACTCCTTCAACTTACCTCATTACCTGAAGTGTCACATTATCTGTCTTTGATTTGTACAACAATAAAAGGTTATTGCTGGAGTTGTACGTAAGGATGTATGCATTAATTAAGGGTGGAATTACAGTCCCCATTCCTTCAAATAAGGAATGTCTCAGTGAAACTGAAAAATGGACAAGCTTGCATGAAAAATTATTACATTGTCATTGTTTCAGTGCTCCATTTTTCAGCTGCCTCTAATGAGGATTTTTCTGTCTGAAAAAGAATTCACAGAACCATAATATTATCACAGGGACGTGATAGACTGCATCTGTCATGTATAGCCAATTCAGGCCCCATCCTACCAGTATGTCCCTTTGGTGAGACTACATTTATTAATTCCAAATGTGCCTGTCTCTTGAAAGAAAGACAATACGTCCATCTCCCTTTTCTTGATGTGGAGCTTCCTCCCAGAGTTGTGCTCATATGAATGCTTGGGGTCACTGTTCACATCTGCTCCATTAGACTGCACAAAAGGTGGTATTTTGTGAGCTCCCTATATTAGTAAGAACAGATGCATAGTTCTGAAGCACTGGAAAGGAAAGTTTCTCTTCTTTCTAATGAAATGCATCACTCTTGCTATTTCTTCTGCCTTCTAACCTGGGGTCGGTACTTTTTAAGTCCATTGCATATACGTGCATGTATTTGAGATCATCTCTACAAGCCTCTATAATATTGTATGTAAGAGTTTTCCTTTTGGAAATCACAGTCTGGTTTAAAGTAGCTTACTTTTTCTGGAGAAATTTGGTGAATTACGGCAGCATGATATTTAAAATGCTCTAAAACTAAACTGCTGTAACAGCTGTTCTAAACAGTATAGTAGTTATCAAATGCATTATATAGCTGTGGTTTATGGGTTCTTATTTGAAATGACTTGTAGGAATCATCTGGGGCATGTACTGACAGTATCACAGAAATATCCTCATCCCTTCATTGTAAATCTAGGTTTGGGGATGAAATAGGACTAAATTAACTTGTGACAAAGAATCCCAAAGGAGAAGCTGTTTTGATGGCGCATTATCAGCAGTGGTAAAGGGGAGATTACATAGCATACATTTCAGACACCCCATCACACACCATGTCTTTCAACAGAGAAACAAATTTCTTACAGTACAGCAACAGGAAGAAGCCTGTGCTATAATTTCTAATTGTTCATTCTATTACAGTATTTCATTACCTTCTAATATAAATTCTATCCCAAATCCAGCATAGCAGCTCTAATTTGAATTATGTTCTTATTATTTGTACTAATGTAAAACTAATTAGTCCAGTCAAAATTTATTCTGATGATTTTATAGAAGAATCTTAGCATCATTTATTCTGATGCTGAGACAGAAGAAAAGCAGTCAACTTTAAAGTCAGTCTCCTAGTCTAGAGAGCAACTAACACAGAAATTCTAACACATTTATCTAATCATTATTATTGCTTGGATCCTGACTATGTCACTAAGAGTACATTATAGCTACATGCATATTTCACCCATTTTTGCAAAACCCAGCTGCACACATGCTTGAGCTTTGTCTTTGTCTAGAACTTCTTTTGTGATGTGATAAACACAAGGATGTGGTGGCCAAGTGAAGCTTGCTGAGAAAACATCACTTTGTATTTTCTACATTTGAGTTTTCAGATACACTGCTAGATTAGTGCAACAATTTTCAACTGCATTTTCAACCTATGTATGTATTTGAACATGTCAACGGAAAATGTTGGTCAGCTTGCAGGAGTTATGGCCCCCGATTCCAATTAGACTGCAAAGAGCTGTTTTGAAAGATGCTTTTAAATGTCTTTGTGGCCCAGAAATGTAATGTGGCAGATCCCATATTCCTGGAAATGGAATTCCATATTTCTGTAAAAAAGACACCATATTATTTCCTCATGCTTTTAACTGTTCTTCTGTTCACTTCTCCCATATTTTCCCACATGTTTTTTATTTCTCTCTCTCTCTTCAGAGTCACTTTTGTTACCTCCAGAATTAGCACTTTGTCCCAGGTGCTCCTGTTGCTTCCACTGTCCTCTGCTCAGAGAGGCAATTTCAACACTGATGGTCACCAAAAAATGAAATCAAGAGAGAAAAAGGTGAATGTACACACTTGTGCAAGCCCACATGCCAGAATTTCTAACTAGATTCGGGTAGGAGTGTAAGGGAGGATGTGTGGGAAACAGCCACATCTGATTTTTACAGAGGAAGTCAGAATGACTGCAGGGGTAGCATTAGGGTAGTTAAGTGAACTGCAGCCCACAGACGGGGTCACAGAGAGTTTCTGGGGAAGAATGGCAAGTTTGACAGGCTACATGCATAAATTTGGTTGATAACTAAAAACATATCAGGGGTGACAATCCTAGCTGTCTTCTGGGAATGATCACATGCTTTGAATCTTAGTAGTTCAATCTTATATTGCAAGAAATGAAGCCACAATAAGTAGGCAGCACAAGATACATCTGTTCCATAATTTGTTATATACTTCAGTTGGAAATCTTCTGTCAAATTGATTTTAAGCTCTTAGATTTTCAAATGCTGAGAAGCATGGACGTACAACTATTATCAGGTGCATACCTTTCTCACTGTGACCTTTTTTCCCTCTTTTTAAAGAATTAGATCTTTTATAGTTGATGACTACAGTGACACAACCTTCACATAAAAAAAATGTGTCTCTTCAAATAACAACTGCCAATGGTACAGTTCTTTCAGGTGCAGTGATGATCTGGTGACTGATATTTGAAAATGTGAGAGCCTAACCATTTTAGGCAATGCAGGAGGGAAATTCACACTGCCCACATTCTTCTGCCTTCAAAGAGCATCAATATTTTCCATCTTCTCTCACCTCTTTCTGGTGGTGTTCTGCTCTGCAGCACCCTGTTTTAAGTGGAGTTAAGGGCTTACTTTGAACAGCTCTCAGAATGGCTTATTTTTCTAGAATAACTCAGGTTACATGTCAAATTTCCTAGAGCCAAGCAAAAAAAGTTCAAATCTCATCAGAATTTAGTCTTCGTGTTCATCTCAGTCCCAAAACAAAGCGGATCTTTATAACATGTTTTTCTTTTGTCCTGACCAATTTTGTTTTTAAAATACTTTCTTCCTTTTATGCTGGAAATATTTACCATTACCAGCCTATATTTCCTCTTCTAACATTGCATGCCTTATTCCCAAGCTGTATATCTGTCTATAACTCATAGAAAAAATGCTGTAATTTTCATGCACTTTAAAAATCACCATGGTATTGTTATATATTCCATGCTGTCTTTAATAAATCACCGAGCTACACTTTCTACTCCTCAAATGTTCTTATGCATTATTTCCTTAATTCTTGTAATCAAGCGTTAACTTTGGCTTTGCAATGTTTGTGAATTAATACAAGATCCAAACCTGAGGCGTGGCCAAATTTAAAAAGCTCAGTTGTAGAAATTGAACTACGTGTCTTCCTCACCACCTAGTGGCAAGGTCACAGGCCACACCAAACACGGTCTGGGGACTGCTACCTGCAAGAACAGGGGTGGGCACTGAGTTGCTGACACTATAAATTTGATACTTGGGTTATATATATGACACTTCAATGGATCTAGCAGTCAGGGTAGATGCTAACCAACATACCTGCATCTGAAATATATGGTTTGAATAAAACTGTGTCTGAGATACTGTCTTCAAAATCCAATTTCACAAAATAATTATGTGTACTCTTTCTGAATTCAACCTTCAGCAATGATTTTCCTGAATGGAAAAACATGTGCATACCTGAAGAAGTATATTTTCCATTGCTAGTGAATTGTGTTACTTTAAGTAGTAGAATAGAGAGTTTGGGCAATCCTGAAATGCCTGAAATCCTAGAATACAGCCACTAGAGTGCAGCTGAACTCTATTCAGGAAACAGAGAGAATCAAATACCTATTAAGGTGCTGTTAAAAAAAAAAAAAAAAGGCCTAGAAGTTAGAGATATGATAGTACTGTTTTTTCAGGTATGTATCTTGTTCCATTCTGTTAGAGTCATAAGTGGAATATCATGTCTAGTTTGCCCAGAGACATTGCAAATAAATGCAGAGGACACCTAGGCAGACCTTAGAAAAGATGTCTACTGAGGAAAAATGTTTTGCTTAGGTTGTGAAAGAGAAGTTGGGGGTGAAGGAAGGAAAGAGGAGACAAACTTAGTGACTTTGGGTGATAGAAATCAGTTGTTCTCAGGTCCTGTGAAAGGCTCTGCTGACAAGAAAAGCAGCTGCAAACTTGAAATCAGGTATTGCAGATTGAAGAATTCTCCTGCCTGGTATTTGGTCGGTTCAGTGCAATTCTACAGCTCAATTCATAAACTGCCAAACAATGCCAGCTGTGCTGTGAATAAGAAGGAAACTAAGTGGGCCAAAAGGATAACTGGAAAGGATGTGCAGTTTTGGATATGATCTTGCATTTTATTACTGTGTCTTCCAGGTACAGAGCTCTACAGCAAACAAGAAGGTTCTGTAATCAAATATGCAAGTTTGACAGAGACATTGGAGTTATTTAAGGTGAAGATGAAGAAAGTTAGAAAACCAGCATTTAATCTGGGGTGGTGGCTCAGACCCTTTCCACCTGTGCTATCGAAAATCACAGGTTTCCTCCCACCAGCCCACAAGACTGCTGCCAAGGGGGCAGTTGCCAAGGCCTTGGCTCTGCAGGGGTC